GAGAAAGATGTTTCAGTCACAGCTTGATAAAATTCAGATTAAATTGGTAACGTTGATTCCCAATAGGTAGAATACATGCATTAATCAAATGAAAATGAAAAAGCACGGAAAATTGTTACTCTGTACTGCAGTTATTTGTTACACAAGGTACACTGCAGGAATACAGTGCGCATGCAATTCATTCAGCTTGGTGGTAGTCCAGTAGTTCTAGCCTATTAAATGTATTTACTCAGACGGAGTAGTAATCCACATGCCTTGTGATTTGTTCCATTAAAATATTTTTTGTCTTTCTATGGAATGCATAACAAATTTTTTTCAGCTTTTTAACCCAGAAATGACTCAGTTGCAGTTAATGGAATTAAGCTAGCAAAGCAGAAAGCAGAAGAAAGCTCTTTATTTTTAATCTGAAGTAAAGCACAATGTCTAAATCTTAGTTTAGAGATACATTAGTTACATTTAAAAATCTAATGAGAAATCCAATGGCAGTCTAAACAAGGCATACGTAAATGTAAAATTAATGCTGATGGACAAATGCTGTGTTCATATCATGCAGCCATCTGCATTTGTTTAACTGAGGAAAAAAAGGATAGGATAAACATCATAGTTATGGTAAGGGAAGCTTTGGTTTTTTACTCAAAAAGTATGCTTGAAAGTCTGCTTGATTGCAGTGGACAACAGTTCCTATACAGATAGTTTGAAGTGATGCTGTATTTTCCTCCTGAGTTGGAGAAATTAGCTTGGAGTTAAAACTTGAACTAAAGCCTTTTTTTTTCCTGATTTTTTTTTTTTTTTTTTTTTTTTTTTTTTTGCAGTTACTAATACATTTCTGGCGGTATTCAGCTTCTCAAGTGAATTTATCATATACAACAGAGAAATTGCTCTAGGAACAGGAAATTAGAAGCTGTAACTGCCTTTCCTAATTAAGGCTTCCCATTAGGCTGCCTAGTTTATATTTTCTTATGGGCATTCTTTCTGTTCCAGTAACTCTTGGTTTCATTCCTGCATAGTGACAGCAGAGCAATGTAAAGAAAAATCTGATGGTCTGTTGCCTGTGGTACTATAAGAGTTTTGCTGATTGATGGAAAATGTGTCATTGAATTATGAAAGCTGATGGGGAGTTTAGCACAGATACTTGTGTAATGAGATGTAAACTAAGCAATTATACTTAAGTGTGGATATCACAGACATTTACTGTATTTCCTCTCTCTGGGTCCTGTTTTTCAGCTGTTGGGCAGACTAGACTGGGACACTAAACTGTCACGTAGTTAACCATGGGTATTTGTGACTCTGTGGAAAATTACATAGTGATCCTGTCACCTTGTTGGTTTTATTCTGTCTCTTTCCTTGTGTGCCAGTATTCTTCTTGGGCATCACCCTAGGTGATGGAAATGGCTAACTGTAATGCATGGACTTTTGCTTGATCTAGAATATACTATATTATTGTTTCCAGTATTTCTGATAATTCATATATTTACTCTTTCTTTAAAAATAATATGCATGAAGTAAGTACCATTGGCCAAGTTCAAGTAGTCTAATACAAGCAAATCCATGTGCCCAGATATGCTTTAGCCATGCAGAGAGGAAATATCAAGAACGCAACATTAAATGGTATGGAAAAATCTATTATCAGTCTGGTAATGTGCATGTTTCCCTCATAAATCTGATCATTAGAAATAAATTTAATCTTGTATGTGGACTACGGGAAGTCATAAAAAGTTGTTTAGTCTTAATATTGTAATCTGATTTCTGTCCCTTTGTGTTGCTTCAGATAGGCTACTTAGCTTCAGAGTTACCTGTGGAAGTATAATGGATTTAAACAGGCCAGATGCAGACTTGGCTTTTGTGAAGAAAGGAAAAGGTGTTTCTCCTCAGCTAGGGCCTCGCATACAAAGTTGAAACAGTTGGCAGTACCTCCCCTCCACACTTCGTGGAAGTTTTCTCAATCTTATACTGCATTCTGAATGCATGAATCATAATGATTAATTGCTAAATCAAAAATAAAGAGAAACCATGTCAGTAAACAAACAAAAAATAAAAAACAAAAACAACAACAAAAAAGAAAATTCCATAGAAATCTGGGCTGTGTGGGTTTACATGTAGATTTATTTATCTTTATTTGTAGTAGCAGTGCTCTTCAGGCTGTGCCTTGAATCAGTGAGGTGATGTTCCCTGTGTATATCACTGATACTCTCACTAATACGCAGGAATTATTTTTTAAATGAAAATGAAGATTACAGTCTTACCTCATTGTGCTTCCAAGTATTAATACTCCTCTTTTAGTTATGAAGACATGGAGATCATGAAAGCTAACAGTAAGATAGATGTTTATCAGGTTAGGAAATAATCTTGTTAAAACAGCCTCTTTTTCAGAAAGTTAAATACTACCTAATTGATTTTCTCAAAGATCAGTGTGCAGCTGTTTTGGAATGACTTTTAGATGAGGCGCCACCTCCCTGTCTGTTTGATTAATGTCCCTTCATTTTGCTTAGAAAATGTGCCTAGGTGAAATTTGAAGACTCTGGGAATTTGTAAAAGCTCTATGAAAATTTGAGCTTGAGTTATTCTGTTAGCGTGTGTACATGTGTGACTATACAAGGAATACAGTAGATCAGATCCATCAGGGAAGTGTTAATACAATTGCAAGCATGCTGCCCAGATGGTCAGTGTGTGAATAGCTGATCCACTGTAGGTCTGGATGCCTCAGACTTAATATGCATGGGCAGATCAACCATGTGCTTAGTAATACAGATACAGCTGAATAACTTCAGATTTCTCCTGCATGTGGTTTACAGATGGTCTGTACACACAGAGTATATTGAGTGTGTTTAGGAATTATTTGACTTGAAACAGTGCATACAGTACGAAGTATATACGAATATATCTTGCTTGCGATATTTCAGAACAAACACAATGACTCTATTCTAAAAATTTCTGAGTAACTTATTTTCCAAAATTTTGCCTCCTAATACTAACTGTAGGGGCCAATACTTCATAGGTTGTTTGGTGCTTTCTGTTTTGCTTTTTTCTTTTAAAGGAAATCAGCACCTTTTAAATTTTATAGTGAGAAACTTTCATCTCAGTTATTTAGAATCTGTTCCTCTGCTTATGGCTTATATGGTTCTATATAGCCAGAAGAAATATATTATTTTTTTCCTCAGAAAACCAGGTTATAGATCACATAAGCACTTTGATCCCTCTGTTCTGATTTATCTACTCTATTCTGCTACTCAATACATCTGTGATTAAAATGTTTGTGCTTACCTTGGCATTAATGATGTACACGATGATCATTTATACACATAAAACAACGCTTCTGTTTTTATTTCCTTTTAGTCTGTGTTGATATGTTCCTCTCACAGCTATGCCTTGTATTTTTACTTCTCTGTCATTCCATAACTCTTACTTATTTTGAAGTGTACTGGTTTGTACTGAGCATTCAGTCTCCAGAAAGTCTGAGTAATCATTTTGAAAAAAACACAGCAATGAGTGATCAGTGCAATTACACAGAATCACAAGGGTTGAAAGGGACCTCTGGATATCATCTGGTCCATGAGTGTCCAACCTTTTAGCTTGCTTGAGATGAATTGGGTGAAAAGGAATTGTCTTGGGCCACATACAAAACATATAGTTTATGTATTTAAGTATCAAAATATGGTTTTTTATATATTTTTTCTTTTCATAGAAAGAAGAGCAACAAAACATGAAAGTGGTAGGATATTTGACCTTGTTTTTGTGAAACTAATGCATCAGGCTGTTTCAGTGGCAGTGGTTGCAATTGTTAGTGAGTTCTCAATTGTTCTTCAGAGATTTTTAATGAAATATTATTCTTCCTGTGCTTCCCAAATGTACATACTGCCAATTAACAATGATATAATTAATTCGTGATTGGGTGGTGAGTGGTATTTTTCTCTAGTAAAATAAGGCTTATAAAATTCTGGTAAAGGGGCAGAATTGCATTTTTGAGTTGAATGTCTAATTGCAACTCTATACATTCTATATCAAAATCTGCAGGTAATGTATTTATGTTGACTGAAAATGGAGATGCAAATATAAAAAAAAAAAAAAACCTGATTTTTTTTTTTTGCAATCTTGAAATCTATTCTCCAATTCATTGTCAAAACACATAGCAAAGCTGCACATTTTTTGCTGCTCACAGGACTGTGTTTAGCCAGTGTATCAAAATGTATACAGTTATTTGCCATAACTTGAGTTAGCAGTGCACTGGGCCCTCCCTGTGTCCCAGTTTCATCCCAGACAGTGATGATTGCATACTGCTTCTGTTTGGTTGTTGTGAACAATCAGTGAGGGCCCAGGCCTGGGCAACTCAGCTGGGCAGAGCTGCTGCCATGATGGTGGAGGGCAGCCACAGGACAGGCTCAGCCCTGTGGGTTGAGTATACCTGCAAAAGCAAGTTCCCTAGTATAGTTTCACAACTAGGGAAACTAGTTGTGAAACTAGTAGTCTGACAAAATGGCATCTGACATGAAAGTGCCTGTGAAGCAAAGATGTGTCACTGAATTTCCTCTCTGTGGAAAAAGTTGCACCCATTAACATTATCAACATTTGCTGAATGTTTATGGAGATCAACAGTGGATGTGAGAGCAGAGAGGGATGGATGGTGTGTTTCAACAGTGGTGACAGTGAGATGGAAGGCAAGCCATTTCCAGATGGCAGTGCACAGCTGTCACCTCCACTGGAGCAGATTTTTATGAGCATGGAGGTTTGCTCATTACTGGAAAAATGCATGGCTAATGGTGGTGACTATGTTTAAAAATAACGTTTTGTAGCTGAGAATTTGCTCTATCAAATAGTGTTATTGTGCTCTTCGTATCTGTTGTAGTTTCCATGGAAATAAATAGAAGGCATAGGTTGCTCCAAAAGTAATATTTTGACATTCCAACATAACATAAACAAAAGCATTTCAAAATAAATGTTGTAACTTTCTTATTCAATGGTTGTAACATGTTTGTTTATTTTTTTTCCTGCTTCTCTTTAGTATTTTCCTATGCAGAAGAATAAATGGTAATTAAAATGTGCAGGATGAAAAGATGGAGCAGCCAGTGCTTGTACCACCAGGACCAGACAGCTTCCAATACTTCACTAGAGAGTCTCTTGCAGCTATTGAACAACGTATTGCTGCAGAAAAAGCTAAGAATTCTAAACAAGATCGTAAAGATGATGATGAAAATGGGCCAAAACCAAACAGTGATTTGGAGGCAGGAAAAACACTTCCATTTATATATGGTGACATTCCTCCAGGAATGGTGTCTGAGCCCTTGGAAGATATGGACCCATATTATATCAACAAAAAAGTGAGTCTAATATCAGTCCTGTTCATATGAAAATGTTTGGAGAGCTTTATCATATTTGTTTCATTCTCTTACTGTGAGTAAAATAGTTTCTTCATCTGTTAACTGACACCAGTGTGGGAAAACATCTTTCTAATAATGTGGAAACAGCTAATCATTTTTAAAATAACTAGCACACAAGAACAGAAAATGTTTGATGCCATTGATAGATATTAATTCCACCTCCCAGAAAGTAAATACATATTTAACATCTAGTTATAAAAATTAAATTTAGCTAATGCATAATAAGTGGTCATGGCACCAAGCCTGCTGAAGCTCAAGAAGTGTTAGGACAGTGCTCTCAGAAATATTGTTTGAATAGGTGGTTTTCTGTGGAGCCAGGAGTTGGGCTCGTTGATCCTTGTGGGTCTTCTCCAACTTGGGATATTCTATGATTCTATGTTTTTAAAACACATTCACCCTCATGTGCTGTTGCCAAACCAGTCTTCCTGCTTTCTGTAATGAGAAATTTTACAACTGTATAATTTTTAATATTAAACCAATCAAATTGGCAGCAAATGTGACATGATGACTGACTATAATTTGGTTACATAGTGGATGTAGCAGGGTATAAATAAATAGAGTGAAAATCTAGACATGTATACATGGCTCTCTTAAACAGTAGTGAAGTGCTCATTGTCTCCAGTGGTACAGAATAGAAGCCATCATCCTTCGTGGATATTAACTTTTCATCATATTCTTTTAATATGCATCAACATTTACACAGATTTGTATCTTCTGATATAATTGAATGTCTATCAGATGAACAATTATATCAAAACTGAAACACAGTACATAATCTCTGATTGTAAACAAATGTAAGGATTCTAGATGTAGTGATAAAGAGCCTACACAAACATATATTTTATAGATTAAATACTTTGCAAACTTAAAAAAGTGAAGATTTACTGAAACTGAATACACCCATGTGTCATTCTGTGTCTAAGGTTCTTTACATTTAAAATTAACAGCATGAACCAACATTTTGGTCCCAGGAATCAGGTGATTTCAAATTCTAGGGAAAATTATGGAATCAGAGAAACATAAGGATAAGCAGAAAATATCACAAGGATCTAAAACTGATATTAAGGTTTCTGGTGGAAGTGGCCTTCAAAGGCTCTGGAATCCTTCCTGGCTAATTCTGTTGCACTGCCTACATACAGCAGAAAAGACTTACAGTCTAGCAAGATAGCTAGCTTGGGTGATGCTTTAATTATTAGATACTGGGATTATGAAACTCATATCAAGACAGGAATTATTTTGATTTGCATGGTATGCTGTGCTCTGATTTTCTTTTAGCTTGCTAAATTTTATGTGATTTATGAATCTGATTTTGACAACAGAGAAAATACTATGTGAGAGCACAATATTTTAATCTTTATTATTTGATGCCTCTGAAAGAGCCTTTATCTGCCATTCATAGTATATAAAAACTTATCTTTAAATCACAGTTCTACTTTTACAAAGATGAAAGATCTGTTTCTACAAAAGCAGGTTTTGTGGAGTTCCATACTAATTGCACCTGACTGATTATGGTACAAAATCATACATAATTGTATCTCTACCTGCCCAGAACTCATCCTGGATGTTTATAGTCAAATCAATCAGTCTTCTGAGTCTTAATAGTGAGAACTGGGAAGATGTACTAGGAATGACCTACAGGTAGTCTTCTTGGGCCCTTAGAAATTGATGAGCCATTCAGCCCATTCACTGATGGAGCTGAAAACCTACTGCATCAGGCAGGTCTGCTAGCTGAAGTTATTCAATGAAGTTTCTAGATCTGGCCTATGTGAAAGAAAGAATCTTTTTATTTGCACACTAAATAACTTCTACAGGCAAGTCACATTTGTAGTACTGCCTGCTGGCATTTTCTTCTCTATGCTCAAGTCCACAGATCTGCTCTATGAAAGTGATTCAGTCTTCTGCCAAACAGGAATAGAAACAGCTTTTTCAGTCAAAAACAAGACAAAGTTTTCTCAACCATTACAATTCTCTCCATTCTTCCTTCAGTGGGAGGAAAATAGGTTTTCCTGACATAAATTCCTGCATTAAAATATCTAAATCCTAGATTTTCTTATCTACTTTTATGTGAATTCTGAAAAGATTTTTATCTTGCTTTTTTTGAGTGTATTAGTGGAAGTTCATGATCCTGTCCTGCAAGCCTCAGAAGCAGAGATAGTTAGAGAAAAGCCTGAAGCAGAAGAGAACAATTAAGAGCCAAAGCACTCTTAATGCTTAGTGTGTTCACCTCTGTACCATTTTATGTTGCAGATTTCTCTTTATTCTTCTCTGAATTCTGTCCTATAAAGTCAAGGAGTCAATCAGCATACACTATCCCAATGTAACAGCCTGACAATTGCTGAATGAGAGTTAGAGATTATATATTGTTGCCTGGGGAAGCATTTATCTGAAATTATATGGCTCTAAAGCAGTGATGCAGAATGAATAAAAATTACTATTTGCTAGAAAGAGTTAGGACAAGTATATGGATTAGTAGATGCCGCTATTGTGGCTCATCTCTGTTAAGATCTCTGCATAAACTGTATCTGATTCATCCATAGAACATCTAAATGTTTGACTTCCAAACATTCAAATAGGCTATAAAAATGGTTATCTACAGTGTTTGTCAAATGATGCTAATGATCATATTCACTGTTTTTTCAGAAAATCTAATAGGCTGTAGAAATACCTTCTTTATTCCAAATTTGAGTCATGAGGAAAATCACGCATCAGTTGCTTGATTTGTGTGTATTGCATCACACTGATTGGTCTGGTGGTGGTTTTTTTTGGTTGTTGTTTTTTCTTTCTTTGGAGGGGGGGATAGGAAGTCTTCTTTGCCAGTAATATGAATCAGCAGGGCTGAGCTCTTCCCTAAAGGTTTAACTACTAAGTAATTAATAAAAGTCTACCACCTATTTTGCCATACTCAGGCAGTTTTATTTTCAGAAGGATACTTTTCATTGTACTGCATATAAGATCAAATTGAAATTATGTTTTGGTATCTTTGTTTCTGTGCAAAACTTATCACCAAAGAGGATTTATTAATAAATGCATTAAATAAATATTAACTTAAAGCTGAAAAGAATAGGCAAAAATAGCACCTAACAGCAGTATAGATTTGCACTGTACTTCAGATAGCCTAAATGCCAGCAACTAGACTGTGGGAACAAAATTCATCTATTACAATTTAATACCCTTCCTTAAATTCTTATGGTTTTATTATAATGAAGTGCCATTGTACATGGTGTTCGGTAATGCTGGTCTTTGGAACTGTTAAGTTTAGCATTCTAAAACTTTATTCACTTTTTGTATTCTACTCCTGTTTAAGTGCAAATCTGTGTGTTCCGGATACAATGGTGACTGCCTATTCATGGTGAAGCTGCCATCACAAAGGATTAGGGAGGTTTGTGTCACTATCTATTGAGAAGGGATCAGCTGGAACCCTTTCAGATCCTTATGTGCATTCTTCAAAATCTTGTCCACTTGGTTTCTTACCTTAAAGTCTGGCTATTTTATCTCGAAGCTAGGCTGCTTCATTAAAAAGGAGCGAAAGAATAGCTTGAATTAAATGGTCCCTACTTCACTTTTCTCCTGCTATAGTGTAGATTTAGCATTGCTGCTGATTGCCTCTGCCCACCCTGCCTCTTGCCAGAAGGATGCTGGTTGATGCCTGTCAAAAGAGCTCTGTCCTTTTGTCCTTGGTTCCACCAGTTGCCTAATCCTATCAAACTATACCTCCTGGATTCCCAGACTAGATTTGTGTTGCAGAAGGAAACGAAAAAAAAACCCTGTAAAGTCATTTTATTTAACATAAGAAAAAGTGAATGCACTGGTGATCTTAAATATCTTTTATATTTTCAAATGAAAGAATTCTGAAGATAAAAGTTCTAGTAACACAGAAAAACTAAGGTCTAGCTAGGAAAAAAATGCTTTCAAAAGGCAGCCACAAAACAAGAAAATGCCAATTTCAGAAATGCCACAAGTCTCTTGTGCTAGCCCTCTCCAGTGTTTTCCCTGAGAAACTATTTGGCTGTTAAGACTAAGAAGCTGGCACTACAGAAGGTGCTGTGGGTTTTGAGGTAGTGTTTATCTGACCATGGGAAGTGGTAATGCAATGCAGTAGTGCTCAGCCTTCAAGATGTTTCAAAGCCAAATGGGAGTTTTGGCTTTGAAGCAGATTTCTCCTCCTTTGCCCTGATAAGACTGCAGTTTCTCAGTTTGGCTCAAATATGCCAGAAGTTACAGAGCTGGAAGCCAGGTTACAGGCACGAAGTTGCAAATTGGACACTTCTCTTTAGGTATTTCATTGAATTTAAATTTGCACTGGAATACTTTGAGCGTTTATAAAATGATAAAAACACTTTGTGAAACATAAACCCTGAAATGTATACATAATCTTCCATTTCCGACTATTAATCTTATAATTTATTTAGAATTTATTTCTCAGCATATAGCTGCTTTCTCCTGTCAGATTTGGGTAGAATGTTTCATGTTCATCCACAGTGCCTGCACACTGCCTTGCATCTGGAATGAGACTGGGTGCAAATGCAGGAAGCTTACTCAGGAGTTGGACATTAGCTGTAATCCCTGTTATCTGCATTTTTAGGAAAATTCTTGACGAGGCAATTTTAATTCATTTTTAAGGCTAGAAGTCAGTGGACCAATGCAGTCATTTTCAAGGTTCCCATCACAGAGATGTTTTGGATGAAAAATTAAAACCGAAATAGAAATTGTAAGTTTTGCTGGTTCTGCTTATGCAGGGCAGCAGAAAGTGGAACAGCTAAAATAGCAGCAGCTTCCAACTGAGACTGGAGTGGTGCCAGCATGCTGTTATTTTCCATAAGGCATGTTAGAAAAGAGATGTATGTTTAATATGCTTGTGTTCAAAGATTTTTAAAAAGATGTAGGTTGGCTAAATGTAGGTGGTGTAGTTTTAGATGCAAAGCTGGTAGCAAGTGTGATTTTTATTATATTTTCTCAACTACCTCATAGCTACAGAAGCTGTTATTGCGAGCTGTGAGGCCTGGGGGCTGGGGCCAGACCTGAGAGAGAAAACTCACCATGTCCCTTGGTAAATGGTACCAAAACCCATCATTCATCTGTCTGGCTACTCACATATTTAAAATGAAACTTTCATTCAAGGTCAAGTGAACTGCAGTTACCCTTGAAAGGTCATTTGTTATCTGTAATCTAACTGGAAATACAATTTAGGAACATTAGCTCAGTTCTTATCCTGTTGTTCGGTTTCATCCTGCAGATTCTCCGTTTCTGCGCAGAAGCAGGAAAAACAAATACATCTCTCATAGCTTTTCTACACATCTTGAGTTGGTGTTCAAGATTCAGTGTTAATGACGCTTAGTATTAAGCACTTTGATCTGTATTACCAGGTGTGCTGAGTAGAGCCAGGACAGAGGCAGCTGAGGGGAGAAGACAGCAAGTGATGTAGGGCTGGGAGAGCTTTTACTCAGTACTCATCCCATTCTTTGCCTTCTGTTCTTGGTGTCCACCACAGACTTGTGGAAACCATTATCTCTGCAACTCCTGTCTCCTGGATGCTCCTAGCAATTGGTTTCGGTACTTCCTGGTCTCTACACACTAAGCATCATGAATACAAGCAGACTGAAGAGCTGTCTTCCTTGAAAATTCTTGACATGTTTTTTCCAGACTTACAGCCTTCCCAGAAATAGTTCTGCACACTGCTTGCCATCAGTCAGTGGACTTCATGTCTTGCTCCACCCTTCACAGATAACAGAAGAGATCAGTATCTCCTTTCTCACATTTCCTAGTAGGATCCTAGCTTACAGCTCACTTCTTCAGCAATGTAATGATAAGCAAAGAAGCTTTATCATAGTTTGTCCAAGAAGTAAACAACCCTATCAAAACAAAAAAGGCAATTTTAGAGATTTTTCATTGCTGGTTTCTTCAATACCTTTAATTCTGCTTGAATAATCCTTGTTCATGCAGATCTCTTCCAAATTACCGATTCTTCCTCCTGCAGTGCTTTTTGTTCTGTTTTGTTTGTTTCTACAGTTGAAGATCACCTCAGTGCCACAAAGAAACTTGGCAGTCTGTATTTCCAATGTTGTATTGTTAATGTTGTTGCAGCCACAATGGGCTGCAATGTAAGCAATTTTTTTCAAAGTTTCCCTGAACTTTATGCACTTGTTAGTGGTTAAAATAAAATCTAACATGATGTATGTGTTCTGGGAAAGATTTACACCTTTAAACCACAGTTGTGTATGGTGGTCATCTGGGATGTGTCTCTTGTTCTCCTCAGGTAGGGTATACTTGGATGCTCACAGTCCTCAGAGATTCATGTCTACATGGGTTATTGCTATTTCCCTTTATCCTTAGCACAAACTTTGGAAACTATAAACACAATTACAATTTTAATTAATCATTTCTGCATCTTTTGCTACAAGAAGTAGATAATATAACTGATATTGTTTAACAAAGCAGTATTACAGAAGCATTAATGAAATGAATGTTCTATATTTAAAATTATATTTTCGGACATCAGGTAAGTACTGGAAGTAAGTTTTATTTCAAAAGCGAGTCATGCGTTTTGTATATTAACTATGCAAAAATTCATGAATTTGCTGACTGTCATTAAAAAAGGTTTAAAATGAGCATCTACAGTGAATACACACTTACAAAAATGTATTTTGTTTTTCTTTTTCAGACCTTTATAGTATTGAATAAAGGGAAGGCAATATTCCGATTCAGTGCCACCTCTGCCCTGTACATTTTAACTCCATTCAATCCTCTTAGAAAAATAGCTATTAAAATTTTGGTACATTCATATCCTTTTTCAATTTTGGTTCATGAAAAAAAAAACTTGTATCTCTATTTCATTGAAAATAGAAGTTTTTCATATGTTATTATTTTTTTTTTCAGCATGAGAGTTATGGTAAGTTTCTATCAATACAAGGAAATTGGAATATATTATTTAAATATATTTGATTACATTATTCAAATACATCATAGCTATCCTGTCAAATTTTGATACTTTAGTTGTAGAAATTTACAGATGGATTGGAGAAATCACTAATCTCTGGATTTGTAAATCTATTTCATTTTTTAAACAGTCTTGTTAATTTAAAGACAATTGAAATACGCAGGAATATTTCAGAAAAATTTCTCCAGATTTATGTTAATATTAAATTGTTACATGTTCTTGATGCTTTTTTTGTGCTATGAAGCCTACCCATAATAGAAATTATATTTAGTAATGAAAGCACTTTGTACTCATAAATTCCAGAAAAGCTCTCTATTTTAAAATTTTGCAATCTAGTTAATTGGAAATATCAGAAGCCACTGCCAGAAAGTATCAGCAGCAGCACTGCAGGCAGTTTGCAGTGTCTTTGTATGTGCAAATGATTGGGGGATCATAACTGATGGGACTGTGCATGATAGAAGGTTTTAGTCTGGTATGTAGATAGGTGCCTGATGTTATTAACAGTTCATGGACGTTTCTAGAAAATGAGGTTTTTGTGCAACTTCTTGCACAACCCCAGGAGTGGGAAAAGCAATCACCACATGGAAACTTTAGCATAACAGTAAAACATAGAGCAGTTACTCAAAGGCAGAAGTCTAAGATTTTCTAGAGATTGCTGGGGCAATTTTCTAAATATTTTCTAAATGTTTGGATAAGAAGAATAAAATAGAGGGGCTGCTGCTGATTCAGTAGACCTTTTCCTCTAAGCTCCCTCGAAGTTAAAGCAGTGAGAGGAGGGAAGGAAAGTGCCTGGAAAGGAGGGAGCAGCTGAGGACAGTAAGGGACCTGACAGACCTGCAGGCATCATGGTGATGATGGTGAGAAAATGGAGCCAGTACTGTCAGATTGAAATTATTTTTATCTTAAATACAGAAGTGGTTTGGGTTTTTTTTGTTTGTTTGTTTTATCTTAAACAGAAGGACAGTTTTATGGGTTTTTTTGTTTGTTTTTATTTGTTTTTAATTCAATACAATGCAAAAAATGCAAGTATTAATGTGGTAGGTCACCTAGAATGTTCCATAATGCATTTTAGGTTTTGGATACTTACATTCTGTCAAGGTTAGTTTATAAGAAAAAAAAAAAAAAAGACAGTAAAGTTGTTTACTATTTTTACTAATCTTATGACTTTTATCAGTAAACTCTACTGCCCTGCTTTGAGGCAGGAGTTTGGCACTGTAGTCTCTGTAAAAGAACAGTGCCTTTGGCTTTCAGTGCAAAAGATGTATTTTGAGAGTGAAACTGATGCATCATGGAGAACTTCCACATACATGTCCTCTGAATTCCCTGAACCTCTGTATATGGGGCTCCAACCACGTGCCCAGACACACAATCAGATGTTGTTCACTCAGCAAGGAGTCAGAGTGTGTCTCTTCTAGAGCTCTGAGACTTTTGCTATTGTTCTTACTTCACTGTTGGTACCTATTGTAATACCAGCCCCCAAGAATTGGTAACAGCATGGATTTCTCTGCTGACTCACCCCCTGATATTCTGCCTGCTTGACTCAAGTCAAGGTAGTGTATTCACTTGAGAGGGCAACACAAGAGTGACGAGGATGGCCAGACTTTTGCAATGAATGGGAACAAATGAAAAAGTTAGAAGAGATGGGAGTGAGAAGACAAAAAATGCAGTCAACAGTGGCTGGAGTTGCAGGGTGCAAGGAGTATTAGAAAGGATCAAGGAGATGCATGAGAGAAAAAGTGGTACCTTGGAAAGTATCTCTATGCTAGCTAGCCTTTGGAAACTGAAATTAGTGATATTCAGCATTTTCTCACTACCAGGAGCTATCTGCAAAAAAAATTAGCAGTGTGTTTTTTTTTCTAATTTCTATCTTCCACAAAGTCTATCCAGGCAATAGGCAACTTCATCTGTTCCATGAAGTGGCTGGCTTGAGGTTGTGCGGTGGCTCTAAATGAAATGCACCACACAGAACTAAAAACTCAACTCTCCCAAAAAGGCATTTAACTTCTTTAACTGAAGCTACAATAATCACCTGGCTTTATTCCTAAAATTCATAAGGATTCAGGATTTAGATTTTTGTAGACACTTCATTTCCTACATAGCTGAAGAATCTAGAATAAATAAGGCAGATGTCCTTCTGGCAAATTCAGTTTGATGCACAGTGCTGATTTGATCAGAGAAGACAGTCCATCATGTCTACCAAAGGAGTTGTTTAGGCCTTCTTCAGTCATATTCCTCACTTCTGAACACTGACCATTTTGATTTAACATTCTTTCAAAATAGTTTTGTATGTGATATACATGGCTCTTTGCATAGCCCTGTAAAAATCATGACAGCCTTCTTTATGCTTCAGCATCAAACATATGTATTTAGCACCGAGAATATTATCTGAATGGATAGTGTTTATCCTACTGGCATAGATCACATTTCTGCCATTTTTAAGAATATCTGTAAAATAAGAATCTTGTTTGTTTTCCAGAGTGCTGTATCTCTAATTACATTTTATGTACTTTGTTTTATGAGACAAGTGAAACTTCTAGGAGATATCTCCGTGATTTTCAACTACCAAAATTAATTGTCTTTGGACAAGGAAATTTCCCAATTAAATAAATTCAGAATCTTGAATCCTGCCTGTGGACTGTGCACACAAGCACCATATAGGATAATAATTATTCTAAGCAAATAACAATGATTCTTGCTATTCAAAGCTTGTATGACAATGTAATCCCCAAAATGAGTTGTCACTTTAATGAAAGATATCACTATATTTACTGCTTATTCAACAATTTTGATAAATGTCACCTATAGAAATTAGGCAGGTAAATCTTTCCCTGTGATTTGAATGTTAACTTGAAAGTATATGCTCAAGTCTGAATGCTTTAAGTAATGATCTGAATGCTAGCACAAATTTTCTGCAAAATTTAGGTTGAAATGTAACTTCCCCTCCTCCTCTTTCATTTACAGTGAAGGTTGCTCTTTTGTTTGTTTAGTTATATTTTTATGCTAAAAAAAAAACCCAAAAAACACCTCAAAACAAAAAATGCTATCTACTATTTTTTTTTTTTAAATGAAATTAAAATTCTTGGGCTCTTACATGCAACTTCATTTGTAAATACTTTTCATGCAAGTATTCTTAAGGAACATAACATATAAAAGGATGACTAGAGGAAAAATTAAAGTAGAGTTAAACGTTTGGCATAAAGATGTTATGTAGTATTGCCTATTTTCTGCTGCCATCGTGTGGCTACTTTGGGTCAGGTTTTAGTCTACACAATACAAATGGCAATATTTTGCTGTACTTAAAATCTATGGTTGATGTGATATTGCTTGAATTGCTATTGTGATTCCCTTAACTATGATTTACATTATTCAGCATGCTTATTATGTGCACTATTTTGACCAACTGTGTGTTTATGACCATGAGTAACCCTCCGGACTGGACCAAGAATGTAGAGTAAGTTGCATATTTTACTTAAGGATATCCATGCCTCTGACGATTCCTTAGTAAGTCAGTATGCTTGCAACTGCAGTTGTGTGCTGGCTGGAACTATCATGAGATACTATTTCCTCTCTATACTATGTACAAATGTTGGATAATTATTCAAATCTCCTTCTGGGAGAATAGTTGGGTTAACAAAAATAGAAGTTATTTATGGATATTGTTGTACTTGGATTCCGCTAGTTCTCTCTTATCTTCATGGCTTAGCACCTACACCATGTGTTAATGTCACTACATTAAGAGTAGAACCGTGGCTATTTGTAGATGCCAGGTAAAGACAGCATATAAGCAAATGTATTCTTAAAGTGAAACTTATGTGCATGCTTGTATTCTCCCTTTTCTAGAGTTAATACTAGGTGGATTAGATTTTAGTGGTTCTGGAAGTCTCCAATATCTTATGCTCACAATATTCTTGGATCACAGAATGGATGTAGTATAATTTTAAACTGAGTGTCACTGACAAGTTTAAAAAATGTTATGTATTTTATGGCTTTATTTCTTCGATTTATGCCTAAGATCAATAATTCTGTATTTAATGCACGTGCATTCACAAATATATAATGAGTATAAAGCATTTCAGAAGAAATTTCTTTTTACCACTTGTAAGTGGTAAAAGTTGCAAGTGTAGAATATTATTATTTATTTCAATTAATTTTTCTGATATTTTCCAGGTACACCTTCACTGGAATATATACGTTTGAGTCACTTATAAAAATTATTGCAAGGGGCTTTTGCTTAGAAGATTTTACTTTTCTTCGAGATCCATGGAACTGGCTCGATTTCACTGTCATTACATTTGCGTAAGTTTTTGTTTTTTGCTTTTTTTTGAAAGTGAAGGGCAAAAAGGGCATGAAATTAGTATCAATACCTCTCAATTTCATCAAATGGAAATACTTCTATGAATTTACTTTGTCTAAAACAATTTTCATATTCTAATGTGGATATATTGATGTAAAACATAAATACTGCAGAAGCCATTAGTTCAGTTAGTATTAGGCTAATTTCATGTCCTGCGTTTTTTTCTCTGAGCAGAAAAGGAGCATCCCTTTGACTTCATTCCACAAACTTACCAATCTAGTCTAGATAAATTTTAGGCTTTCAAAGTTAAATCACTGTGATTCACTTCAGAGAAGTTTAACTTAACTGAAGGCTCTGAAAGCATATTAATGCAAGGCAAACTGCAATGAAAGGTAAACCTCTGACTGTTGCTATATAATTTTTTGCTAAAAACGCCAAAGTGGTCTTGATGAAAGACCCAAGTAAGTAGCATAAACTTTGCCTAAATTCTGAATAACTGTGATTTAATCCTACAGGTATGTAACAGAATTTGTAAACCTAGGCAATGTTTCAGCTCTTCGAACTTTCAGAGTATTGAGAGCTTTGAAAACTATTTCTGTAATCCCAGGTAAGAAGTAACTGGTGTAAGGTGTTAGGCCCCTTGTACCTCCCAACTGTTCCTTTTTATCCTGTCATTGTGTTTGTGTGTGAACTCCCCTATTGCAGATATGTGACAGAGTTTGTGGACCTGGGCAATGTCTCAGCGCTGAGAACATTCAGAGTTCTCCGAGCTTTGAAAACAATATCAGTCATTCCAGGTGAGAGCTAGGTTAAACACTGAGGCTGACTGTTGTTCCACAAAGGCTATACTCACGTTTTTGAAGCATAAGCCTTATTTCTTTCCACCAAAAAAAAAAAAAAAAAGCAGGAATTGGAAGATATCAGAATTTACTGAAATCTCTGATTCATTGCTTTTTAACATGAGCTCTTTCCTTTTGAAATCAGCCTTTGAGTTTAACAGATTCTTGCATGAGACATTGCAGTACAAAGCGTGTGTGGTTTTCACCTTCTGATGTCAAGCTTTCTTCTCCACATTCAATGAATATCAGTTACCCTGAAGTTTTCTTACCCATATGTATTTTACCTACATGATGTTGTGTGGTATTTGTTGTGGATCTTTGTGTCTTTAAAAATAGAACTGTTTTAAATGTTAACTAAGTAATGAAGTTAATGGAATAAGATAATAAAGAATAGCATGGGCATTGCATGGGGGATTTATTATCTTAAACTTCTGTGATTTTCCAAACCATCTCCAGTTTTATAGCATTAAATTTAACTGCATTTTTTTATAAACAGGCTCTTTACCACTGTCTTCTAATTCTAGTATGTTATAAAACTGTTAATAGCAAAGGTTTGGGGCAAGAGATATTGACAAACAAAAAGAAAGAAGACTTTTCTGCAAGATTCATGTATAGCATGACTAACAAAGTCACTTGTTTTAGTATTAAAACAAGTATTTTGAAATATATGCAACTCATTCCATTTACTGTTTCAAATGAACATACACTTTGGCTTTTTATTCATTTTCACAAGTGAAAAAGCTCTTCACAAAAGTGTTATTTCACAGACATTACAATCATTTATTTGGGCTTCTGCATGAAATCTATAACTTTACTGGGAGATAGTGTCATTTTTTATGCTTTAAAAATCTTTTGAACACCAGAATAAAAATTCCTTTACATTTTCAGGCTTGAAGACTATCGTGGGAGCCCTAATTCAGTCTGTGAAGAAGCTCTCGGATGTTATGATCCTGACTGTCTTTTGTCTGAGTGTATTTGCACTAATAGGGCTGCAGCTGTTCATGGGCAACTTGAGGAATAAATGTCTGCAGTGGCCTCCAGAAAATTTCACTCTGGAAACAAATATCACTTCCCAGCTCAACAGCACCATTGGTGAAAATGGTACACTGGTTAATTCAACAGTGACTCCATTTGACTGGAAGGGGTACATTGAGGATGAAAGTAAGTATTGTCAACATAATTGTTATTAAAATGTTCTACAGATGGCTCAGTTCTAAAGAATAAGATACATTCCAAAGCAAGTTTATCAAAGACTATTGTGTCATTTCTCACAGATGTCAGAGACTTCTTACTTCCAGTGAGAGAATCCAGTGAAGTGCTCAGAATTATCACCATGCGTCCGTTCTTGTACTTCACCACTGCCATAATTAGAAAAGTTTATTTATGGTCTGACATAACATTGAAATTTAAGTTTATCGTTCTTATCAGCTTCATCACAGGCCTGAAAAACAAATTATTCCCTAACCTTAATCAATGTCTCAGAGATATTTAGAGACTGCACTCAAGTTATCATGCTCTGTTCCCTTCACTTTCAGTCTTTTTTCCATCACATTTTTTCTCTGAGGATTTATTTTTTAGATCTAGATCTCTCTTCTGGATTCTTTCTTGCTCATAAACATCCTTCTTATGGCACAGAAGCCACACCCAAGCATTTCACCTCCCTGTGTGGCCTGCTGGTTGGGTTAAGCTGGCAAGAGACTGTCTAAAAGGACTGTGCTGCAGCATAATAACTTGTGCTTTATATATCTTCTGCTAGTGCTTGCCTTTGTTTACAACTCTAACATCATTAAATCAAGTTCAGCTTGTGATCTGCTTGCCTCCTGAATCTTTTACAGACATTAACCTCATTAGGTTTTCACTTTGTATTTGCACAGTTCACTGTTCCAGCCTGAACAGTGCTGTGTTTTCTCTGACCATCTTTGTGACTCTCCAGGATCTTTTAAATTTTAATGATTTCTCAAGACTTAACCATTACCCTTATGAGATCAGTATCATTCACAAATTTGACAAGATCATATCAGTTAAAATCTTGAATAGAACTGGTCTCAGACAAGTCTCCTCAGAACTCATTTTGATGCATCTTTCCATTTTGATCATTTTGCATCATATGATTTTCCAAGCTGATACAGATAGTTTGGCAAACTGAAAGTAAACAAACAAATGTATTTCAGTACAGTTAAATGTGAAGTTGCAAACCTAAGATTCCTTGTTTTAAATATCAGCACTGGACAATTTGTAGCAAGACAGGTTCACATGCATAAAGAGTGTAGTTGGTAGCATACATCATCTCTAAGAATGAAAGAATTGAAAGGAAGAAGGAAAAGTGAGAGGAAAGGGAAAACTGATAACAGTGGTTAGCTGAGAGAAAGTGCTGGGGTCCCCAGGTGAGTTTCATCCCCTGTGTGTTCTTTCCAGTGCAGCAGGTGATTACCCCATACTACTTTTCCCATAGTAACCATATATTTTTTATTGAGTCTGCTCATACTCCCTGTGGGTTTTTCATACTTACAAAGCTATTAGCACTAATTGGAACATGCTTTGATCAGGGTGGGTTCTGCATGGCCATTTGAATTTTAAGCTCATACATGCATGTTATAAGGTCACCTAATACAAAGCAAAAGCTACAGCAAATAAGTAGGAAAAAGCTGGAGTGGGAAGGGGATAATTTTCACACTGGGGACAATTGCTTTCCATGAACACCTGCTGTAGCAACACTATATTTGCAAATATATTAAAAAAAACAAAAACAAAACAAAACAAAAAAACCCACCATGAGAATAAGCACATGAAAAACAGAACAAAGGAAAAGTAGTGCCACAGAGGCATTGCAAAGCACTGTCACAGCAGCTTGTGTGAAAGGTTGCAGAGCTGCAGCTGAGAGGCAAGATGCAGAAATGTGATTAGAAGGTCCTTAGCAAGGTACCTAAGGCACTTTAGAGCAGACAGGACTCTAACAAATTAAGGCTGAATCTCTGCAGTCAAAAGCTAAATGTATCCTGTTCACATAAATAAATTATTGATTAGGAAGGCAGTATTGCTCCTGTATTTAGCACTGCTGCAGTTGCTACTGGAATAGAATAAAAAGTTCAGTTTAGATGGAATCTTGAAAAGATGGAGGATGTACAGTGATTAACAGGCTAGAAAATATGCCTTATGCCAAGATAGGCCAGGAACTCAACCTAGTTAGCATATCAAAGAGAAGGTTTAAGGGGTGATTTGATCACAGTTAAGAAAAACCTCATAGGAAACAGATATTTCATCACAGACATCTTTGATCTCACAGGCAAAGATATAACAGGTTCAATAGCTGTATGTCAAAGGCAGCTTTCAAATAGAAGTAATTCTATCATCATGCAACTGATCAATTACTATGATTGACTTCCATCTAAATTTCTTAAATAAGGATAGAATCAACTCACAATATTTAAACTCATCAATTCAGTGAGGTCCCATGCTGTAGTGTACAGCAAAGATTAAGCAAGGAAGACTGTATGTTTCAAGATCAAACTTTATTTTCTGTTTCTTTTAACAAAGAATCTATAAACTAAAGCTCTGATTTCATATGGTTTCAGGGAAACCCGAAGTCCCTTGAAAAATCATGCTGCATTAATTATAGAAAATACTTTAATGAATGGCTCCTTCAACCTGTGGTGTTATTTACATAGGAGTTCATATTTGTTATGACATTATGAATCTTATTATGAAGCTAATGAGCTTTTCCTTTCTTACAGGCAGTTTCACAGAAAAATCTTCCTGTTCTTTTTCCACATTGGCTATTGGGATATGGAAGTGGTTCTTAAACTAGTTGTTTTGCAGGAGAGTAAGAAGGGTCTGAGCTGGAATTCAGAGCAGTACAATGGCTCTGTCTAGTAGAAATTATAATTGTTTTAAATGGCTAATAGTTGTATATATTACAAAAAAAAGGCATATAAGCCATGTGTTTTCCTCTGAGCTCAGTTTTGGGAATACCATTTTGAGAGACTTAATGTAGGCACTGCTGTCATGAATGAGCCAAACACTCTATTTCCATGTTCATAGATATCAAATCTGATAAAATTAACGGTAGATCCATTTATCTCATCAAGTCTTTCATAAACAAAGTTTTCCAGGAAATAAATATTGCATTGTCTGACCAAAGACACATTATTAATTATTGTTTCCTAATATGCATTATCTGTTTCAAGGTATGTTGTGGTACATAGCAGATAGACTATCAGAGCAATTCTGAAATCTGTCATTGCTTCTTATAGAATTATTAATGTGATGCTTACATTATCTACTCTTCTGCTGAACTGATCAGCTCAAGAACATGAGATCAAAATGTCTTGGCTTAGCAAAATCTTTAGGGATGTCTCTGTGTCAGCTCTGTTCTTTTGTTCCTTGTAATTGAGTTGAAATATCTATTCTCTCTTTGCCTCTTTCTTTTAGTGCTCTCTCAGTACTTTTAGTTTTTAAATAAAAATGTTTATTTCATCTTAAACATATTGCCAGTGAGTCTTCTATGAAGTAGATGGAAACAGCATAAAATAAATAAATGGGCTGATCAGGTAGGTGCGGAACTCTCAACGACCAAGTTTGGTAAAGGAGACAAGTCATCTCCTCAGTTGCTTGAAAGGATTAAGAAGAAGCTGTAGTCAGTAATGCATAGAGACTCATGACATTTGCCTGGAATCCAACAGAATTGGAGTCTCAGGGCCAGCCCAGGTGCTTTTCTAACTGTCCTAGTACAACACTGTTGCTGGACAAAGAAGAGTTTGGTAATGCTGACCCACCACATATGGGTTTGTCTCTTCTCTAGTGTTGCAGATGCTTTTAAGTATGCTTTCTGCTTATCTGATGCCAGATGATCTTGAAAGAGCTGCAAGTTTCCTGCTTTTCTTTGTGCTGGGCTTCACAGAGGTTTCATCCTTGTCCTGTCACTGAGAGAGGGTTCCTCCTCATTAACTGATGATTTTCCTCAGACTATTTGCTTATGAAGCACGGACTTTTCTTCAATCTGTGTGAAACATCTTAGTACCTGTTTCATGAAATAACAATTATGCTCAGTTGTTACCCTAAATTTACCCAGACAACTCTAAGTTTTCCTCAAGTGAAGTGCTTGCATGTCAAGGATTTTTTCCACAATTCCTCTCCAAATAACGGGAAACCAGCCACGTGCCTTGAATGTAGTGAGTCATGTCACACTGGCAAAATACCATTGTGAATTTTGCATTTAGTTAGGGGCATGTACTTACACAGTTCTTTTCAGCTTGCGTTAGAAAAATTTTCCTGTCATGACAATATTTTGAGCATTTGTATCTGCCATCCTGCATAATGTGGTTATATCAGAGTATGCAGAGAAAGCCTGGTGGCTATTGCCTGTGGAGCTGGCAGGGCAGCGGGCTTCACAGCACATCTTGTCTAAAGCTTTCACACCAGCCTTCTTTTAGTGGTTTGGTTCAACTACTGCAGTGCTGTTAACAAATGACTGCCCTACGTAGTATACTCAATCAGGTCAGGTTTATGTTCTTCCCAACCAGCTGTTAAGCTCCAACATGTTTTAATCATGATTAGCTGACATCATGCAGAATAAGGTTTTTTCAAATGGGTCAGCTGTGGTCAGCATCAAGCCAGCTAACTTTCCTACTTGCAAGTCAACACAGTGCAATTCTGCAACGCATGCCAACCCAACATGACAGCAGCAGCACACAGGAGACTGTACCCTGTATGCCTGAGTAGATACTGAAACTGACTCCTTCACAGTGTCAAACACGATCAGCTGCCAACCTATGGCCTACCTCCTGTGGCCAGCAATATGTTATGCCTTTGACTGGTGGCACCTCCTCAAACCCAGTACTCAGTGGTAACCTTCTTCAAGTTCGCTTCTGTAGCAGCCTGGCTTCACCAGCACAGTGTGTGCAGCCACAGCCAAGTCTGAGCTCAGTTGTGCTGGTAGCACCTCAGATGAGGCTGTTTTAAGGAGACTAGCAGGCCAGCTCTGTGGAGCAGAAACCAGTGGCAGTTTTAATTTTCCGCAGGAAGCAAAAAAGAAATGCTTAAAAAGTGCAGCAGCTGCAGAATTGCTGTTGTAGAAGTCTGCTTTGAGGGGAAAAAAACAAATTCAAGTTTATAGTGAATGTGCATCTTAATAGGCACAACTTTTTGCTCATCATCTCTTTATTCTTCTAAGAACAGACAGGTCAGTGTTGTTGCTGTCTAAACCATCTAAAAAGCCTTTTAAGTTCAGGATTACTAGACAGCTTTTGAGATGGTTAGTTACAGGGTGATTTGGTGGAACTTACCCATTATTTCTTTCCTAAGGTTATAAATAATTTCATCATATATACATATCACCTACCTACACAGGTGAATGTTGCAGTTAATTCGATTGAGATATATACCGAACTGTATACCAATCATAAGTCTCATTGCAGACTGTGAGGGCCCGTAGTAGTGAGAACCCTTGGCAGCCAGATGATTTTTGCTGATTACACTTATCATAGAATCATTAAGGCTCAAAAGGCCTCTAAGATCATCTGTTCTAACCATCAGACCATTCCTGTGACCTCTAAACCTTGTCCCTCAGTGCCATATCTACTCTTTTCTTGAAAACCTCCAGGGATTGTGATTCCCTGGTCAGCCTGTTCCAATACCTCACCATTCTTTCAGAGAATAATTTTTTTTCAATATCCAACATGAACCTCCCCTGGTTCTACTTGAGGACATTCCCTCTCATCCTATCACTGTTACCTGGGAGAACAGTCTGAACCCTTCCTCATCACAACCTCCTCTCAGCTAGTTGTATAGAGTGACAAGATTTCCCCTGAGCCTTCTCTTCTCCAGACTGAGCAATGCCAGTTTCCTCAGACACTCCCCATAAGACTTGTGCTCCAGATCCTTCAAAGCTTCATTGCCCTTCCCTAGACACGCTCCAGGGCCTCAAATATTGTCCTTGTATTGAATGACATACGAGATAACTGCCATACATGCTGGTAAGTGGCCAACTGGAACTTTCCTCAATGCTGATCAGAAAGTTTCCCTCCTTAAAACAAATTATCAGTACTTTTCTTTTTTTCAGCTACAATTTAATTGTAAGTGTACAATGTAACGTCATAAGTTTTTATTTAGTTCATTGGTCAGTCTGAAAGGAGAATGATACAATTCATTTACATCCAGCAGCATTCTTTGGGATTTTTAGTACATTTTGGCATTTTAACAGTAAGCTGAGAGATGACTTTTAATGCAATTCCTGGTGGCATTTACTCCAAGTTACACTCCTGCTGAAAAAATGCTAATCTTTGTTTAAAGATATATCTGAAATCATCTTATTATTTATAGATCTGGACTATTTGTTTCAGAGAGCTGTTGTTAAAAACAAAAGAACAAACTCACAGAGTAATATTCAGAATTTTATTAATTTTTTGGCAATTCTTTCCTAAACAGGTCATTTTTATTTTCTGGAAGGGCAAAATGATGCTCTCCTTTGTGGAAACAGTTCTGATGCTGGGTAAGACCAATTTTTGTGAGATTTTTTCACAGTGTATAAATTAGATCCATCTTAAGGTATATATCATATATTTTGAGTGAATACATTCTTTCACATAAGAAGTGATATTAGGATTTTACACTGGGATTTGGATTTGAGTTCCTGATCCATTGGCATCGTTGTACACCACTGAGCTCAGCGAACTGATTAATGAGCTTAGTATTTGCATGACTGAATCGGTAATTTGCAATTAAAGTAGTTATTGCTGGGCATGAGAAGCAACAGATGGCACAGCTAGAAAATTCCAGCTATGTTCCAGTTCTTGCTGCATGCAGGGCTACTGTCACATTCAAGAACAGACAGTAGTTTTCACAATGACATTAGTTACAGCGTTAATAGTTAAAGGAATTATTTGAATTCCATCTTAGAAGTTTAGATTAAGCTTTTCGTAGTAGGTTTTTATTTATGCCTTTCCTGTATAATTTTTTAGTGTTCGTTAAAAATTCTCGATTACAAATCACAACTTCTAGTGTTTCTAATCTGATTAACCAAAGAAAAATACACTTTTAATCCTAATCTTCTGTATGTTCCCATTGATAATACTGAAATAACTATATAAGATAACACCCAGTTTGTCTTTGCAGGCAGTGTCCAGAAGGTTACACGTGTGTGAAAGCTGGTAGAAACCCCAATTATGGCTACACAAGTTTTGACACTTTCAGCTGGGCTTTCTTGTCACTGTTTCGTTTGATGACCCAAGACTTCTGGGAAAATCTTTATCAGCTGGTGAGAATTTTGTTATGGGTAATAGACTAAACATGTTTTTACCTGTAATGCAAGAAGTCTAAAATCAGTTATGTTATCTTACTTTTCAAAGTATGAGAAACAGAACTTTGTTTACCTATTCTTACTTATGAATGCATTTTTATTTCCAGACACTACGTGCTGCTGGAAAAACATACATGATATTTTTTGTTTTGGTGATTTTTCTGGGCTCTTTCTATCTAATCAACTTGATCCTGGCTGTGGTTGCCATGGCTTACGAAGAGCAGAACCAAGCAACCCTGGAAGAAGCAGAGCAAAAAGAGGCAGAATTTCAACAAATGCTGGAACAGCTAAAGAAGCAGCAAGAAGCAGCTCAGGTATAATTTAATGACTTAATAAAGCGTATAATAGGAATTCTTCTAGAGATTATCAAATCCCTGTTTTTTTGAATTTGGAGATTAAAACCACGGTGCTGGACTTTCAGTATTGGAATTAGCTCAGAGATTTTCTCTTCTGCATTGTACTGAGAACCACTGAGGCATAATCAAGAATATTCAGAACCAGGAATATATTGTTTATTATGTTTTTCTTTAGTCATCAGTATAGTTTGTAAGTGTTAAGACTTTGGGGGTGAGGGTGACTAAAAATTCTGTGCAAGTAAAATTTAACAGTTTTGATGTCATGGTTTGCTGAGTGACATGAATTCGTTCTGTGATGTGACAGGCAGCAGCGGTGGCAGCAGCAGCAGTAACAGCATCCGCAGAATCCAGGGAACCCAGCGCAGCAGGAGGAGCAGGTGGGCTTTCAGAAAGTTCCTCAGAGGCTTCCAAATTGAGCTCAAAGAGTGCCAAAGAGAGGAGAAATAGAAGGAAAAAAAGAAAACAGAAAGAACAGTCTGGAGGAGAGGAAAAAGATGAAGATGAATTTCACAAGTCTGAATCAGAAGACAGCATCAGAAGAAAAGGTTTCCGGTTATCTATTGAAGGCAATAGGCTGACATATGAAAAGAAATACTCTTCTCCACATCAGGTACTGCATATAGTTATTTTTAATAGAAGCATATATTTAAAGCATCGCAGGCTGTTATAAAACAAGTTTAGTCTTCCTGGTACAGTAATGTGATCTATTATTATCTATTCTTATTAAAATGTTATGGTGTCTTCCCATTATGATAGCCTTAGATTTTCCTCCTGCTTCGATGATGTTGGAGGTTGGTTCAATATGTGAAGATGCTGCATATATAAGAAAAAACATGCATATTTATAATGCATTTTTGCTTGATGGATATTGTGCAACTACCCAGCTACTTCAGCAGACATTAGGAACAAATAGTGCTCAAAACTGGTTTTGTCTTAAGAATCCATGAGCAGAGGTATTTCTTCTTGCAAAATATGGTGGAGAACGTACAAAATATTCACAGTAGCATTAACTTCTGGTAAAAGTGGTTAACTTTAGGTAAGAAAAAATAAAGGAAAAAGATATGTGGTACTAATGGCAATACTACGTTTTTACCTTGAAGGTTTCAGTTAATAATTACAAATTTTGTTTGCCTACAGTCTTTGCTGAGCATTCGTGGCTCCCTGTTTTCCCCAAGGCGCAACAGCAGAACAAGTCTTTTCAGCTTCAGAGGTAGAGCAAAGGATATAGGATCTGAAAATGACTTTGCTGATGATGAGCACAGCACTTTTGAAGACAATGATAGCAGAAGAGATTCTCTCTTTGTGCCGCGCAGACACGGTGAACGGCGCAACAGTAACATTAGTCAGGCCAGTAGGTCATCCAGGATGCTGGCAGTGTTTCCAGTGAATGGGAAGATGCACAGCACTGTGGATTGCAATGGGGTGGTTTCGCTGGTTGGTGGACCATCTGTTCCTACATCGCCTGTTGGACAGCTTCTGCCAGAGGTGATAATAGATAAACCAGCTACTGATGACAATGTAAGAAAGTTTTAAACAGCTTAGGCATCATGGCCTTTTCTTACTGCACCAGCCAGTGTTACCTACAGAATGGAATCCTTGGCAATGCTTCCTGGTTGGTCAAGCTGTGAATGCTCCTGCATCTTGTAAAATCTTTAATAAATTAAACAGATAAGATAGTTTGCAACATAAGCATTTACTTACTAATATTCTCATAACTAACAAATGCAATTTGCAGTTTCCACATCGTAAAATATTAACTTACCTATACATCCACAAAAGCGCTACACTGTATTACCAGGCCATGCATTCATTTTGCTGCTATAAATGTCTGACTGGTTATGGTCTACAAAATCAAAGTTGCTATACAATTGAAAACAGTATACAAAAATGTTATCATATGTCTGCAATCAGTATGACACTATTATTACCACTATATCAAAATTAGCATTATTGGTTAATTTTGATAATCTACGATTCTATATCCCACTAAAAATGTAAGGAAGGAGTCAGTTCTTTATTACCATTTGTTTCTCATTTCTATATATTTCCATCCTTTGCTGGTGGAGCTCTGTAGTATAAACACATAGTTAATTCAAATATTGCATTTCTGCACATACTACCAAAAATACAAATTATAATTGTCTGTGTGAACGTATTTGCAGCACGTATTGCTGTCACTGTGTATGTATATGCAGGTAAGAGAGGAGATCACTGAAATTTCTTATTTAGTTCAAAATGGTCTACTCATATTAATTAGAAACATACTAGCATGAGGAAGCATGAGGAAGTCGTACTTTTCTTACTTGCTACAATTTGTCAAGTGTAAAAAAACTTAAGTCGTAGGAAATTGAATATTCTGTCAGCAAAAGCAAGGAAAAAATAGTTTGCAAAAAAGTACATTTTTTTTTATTCAGTCCTTTTTTATATCTTTAAATAATTCTTCTAAGCTTGAAGGAAAGAAATGCAATATTTAAGTGAATAAACTCTCACTAAATCTTGAACAGTTAGATAGCTATTGTCTCTTATCATTTAAAAATTATCTTAAAGATATTAAAAAGTAAGAAAAGTCTGACATGATAAAACTTGAAGTGCACGAAGCACGTATATATGCATTTTAATAACAGGGATCTATGTTGTATTTGTCTATTCTATTATTCAAATGTGGTCTCACCTATTACTTTCCCTGTGTAGGGCACCACTACAGAGACAGAAATGAGGAAGAGAGTATCAGGCTCTTTCCATGTCTCTATGGACTATCTGGAAGATCCAGCTTTAAGAGAGAGAGCAATGAGCATTGCTAGCATCCTTACAAACACTGTTGAAGGTGTGTGTTATACATAGCTTAATGCCATATTTTTCCTGAAAATCTGATTTGAAACTTAAAAACTTAATATCTTAATAGATACTGTCCAAGAAACCAACAAATATTTATCAGTACACTCAGAGGCCTATATTCGTTGAAGTCATTACATAAGTAAGCATTTCTAGTTCATTGTTTTGCTACCATCTACCTTGTGCTTGTTGGGACTACAAAGTTGTGTTTGATGACAACAACTGAGGAGATGCTTATACATAGTATTAAAAAAACACTTCTCTGTACACAAAAAGATAATGGAACATTTTTCAAATATGTAACTGTATATACATATTTTTAGTCGTTATATTATTCAGTTACTCTTTAAAAGCTCAGCTGTATGTGATAAAAATGTTTTTTTGTACTAGGAATGAACAAAAATTACAAAAGATATGCATGCCACTATAGATTGATAACTTGACTGGTATAACTTATCTAGCCTTGAGAATGCTAGAGCAATCATGTATTTACGAAGTTTGCTTTCCCACAGAACTCGAAGAATCAAGACAGAAATGCCCACCATGTTGGTATAAATTTGCAAATATTTTCTTGATCTGGGACTGCAGTCCTCATTGGTTAAAAGTAAAGCATATTGTCAACTTGGTTGTAATGGATCCATTTGTTGACCTGGCTATTACAATTTGCATTGTTTTAAATACACTCTTTATGGCCATGGAGCATTATCCGATGACTGATGAATTCAATAATGTACTTTCAGTTGGAAATCTGGTGAGTCTGTTGCTTTTTTGTGTGTTTATGTTTTAAAAGAAAGTATATCTGTTTGTTTGTACCTCTTTAGAAAGCAGATTTACTGACCGTTTGTTACCCTCCTGATAGACTGTATCATAACATTTTTGGATCACATAACTTAGAATTCTGGGTCACATAACTTAGAATTCTGCAAAATCAATATTTTCCTGTGTTCTGGAAAACCAAATTAAATATTTTTTAAAAATGGCACCACTGCTACATTAAGTAAGGTCCATATTAAATAGAAGTTGATTTATCTAGCTACTAAACCAGGAAATGCATTACTTCCATGAAAAAGACACCATGGGAATAAATATGTTTCTTTTTCAATCAATACAATACAAATGTGTGAATTATGAATGTGTTTTTAATTGCTTTTGTCTCTTTGCTCTGTTTCCTGAGTACAGGTTTACAGTCACTTGAAGAGCCATTTAAAGGCATTTCTAGAATTTTCTTCTTTAAATGAATTTTTATGTGGATATGTGGATTGTTCTCTGTATATGCTTATTTTAAATATGAAAAATGTCCCACAGTAATTTTCCTTCTTACAGTCTTTATATTTTTTAGAATCAGATAATTAGTAAGATACTTTTTTTATCATGTTGTCAACTATATTTTCTGCCTTCTACTTCAAAAAGATAAATTATTAAAGAATTCAGTAGTTAATTTTCTGTAGCTATGACACTTTTGAACTGACAGGTTTGATCACACAGAGGTATCTGTGGCTGCAGTCCTACTTCATCTCTTATTTTAAGAACTGATTTCTTATAATGTGATTTTTAAAAATCCTTTTTTTTTTTTTTTTGTAATGAAGGAAAAAAATATCTCATCAAATAAATAACTACAGAATTTGGAAAGGAAAATATTAAAATTCCTAGCCAAATTTCATACACTTATAATAAAGGAAGCTCTGAATATGTTGTATTGTAGCGGTTTGTCTTGTATTATAGCAATTTATAGTTTTGTTTGCCAATCAGGAAAATATCGTATAAATATCGGTGAACATTAGACAACAAAGAGAGTGTGAGAGAGGTTGGCTGTAAGTACCATCCTCTTCCAATCTTAAGTTCCTTGATTTAAGCCCTTTCTCCAATGCAGAAGCTTTCAGGGTTCTCCTGCTCCCATAGTTTAGCTTTAAATGCCCTTGAGAACTTTACTGTCACAATGATTAGGAACTTTATTCATATTTTCACATGGTATTTATTCATTCCCACTTCTTTCACGGTGGTTTTAATTCTCTATCTTAAAAACAAATAACTTTTCCTCACCAGTGCTTGCATCTGTGATGTATTTAAAAGTAATAAAATCTATCTTGAGAATTTATGATCGTACACTGAACAAGTCAGAATCTTGTCCAGATCCCGATTATCCCAGTTATTCTCTTTAGCTGTTGTAGTTTCTGTTCAACTTGAAAACTGAGTTATCAAAAACCAAATGAAAGACAAATAAGCAGTACAGTGCAGAGCTCAGCCAGCCTTTAATGGTGGCTTTAATACTTTCCTATCCTATAAAAAATTCTTCTAATACTCAGAATCAGAACTGCTTTCTCTTAAACCTACTCAGGCTCAGTACCTTGGTGGCTCCCTAAATATGATTCCTGCTTCATTCAGAATATTGAATTCCACGATAGGAAATTATTACCAGAAATATCATGTTTAAAATGCACTTTTAAATGTTATTTCAGTCCTGACATAAAAACAATTGAGTCAATTGGCTTCACTGAGCTTACTGGCAACACCCACGTAGAAGTTTCCTCAGTTTCTGCAAATTGTTGTATCTCTGTTGATCTCCAGCTGTTATAAATCTTATCTCTGTTGAACTGAATGGGATTATTATAGGCTGTATAAGCAAAGGAGCTACTCATCAGGAGTCTTAGACTTGGCCTTATTTATAATGCTGTATAATGTAATAAGTGTACCAAAAATTATGTTATGCCATGTAATTTCTTGGAAAACATTCTGGTTTATGCCATGAAAATCAAATTAAGGATATTGTTTGTACAATACATGAGGAAGTCCGTATCCTGATATAGTTGCAATTGGATTACAAATGTTATAAAACAGAAGTTTACATAATGTCTTTTTCAGTTTAGAATGTAATTATTTGAAAAAAATTGCTTGGTTTATATGACCTCTGTTAAGGTAAGGTGGTCATAATATATCACTACAGTGAACTGTTTTTAATTATTGGTTTTGGAGGCTAATTTCAGATAGTTAGCCTAAACAACAACTAAACCTGAAATATTATATTTCGCAAAAAATAACCGTCTGCACTCTGAATTCAGGTCTTCACTGGAATCTTCACAGCAGAGATGTTTCTCAAGATAATTGCAATGGATCCTTACTATTATTTTCAAGAAGGCTGGAATATTTTTGATGGATTTATTGTAACCCTTAGCTTGGTTGAGCTTGGTCTTGCAGATGTGGAAGGACTCTCAGTTCTTCGATCATTCAGATTGGTAAATATACGTCAGTTGCACTGATTATTCAATGAGGCTTCATTAGATTTTTTTTTCCCTTAAAAATTTTCATTATTTGCTATGATACTGATCCTGAAGTCTCTTTCAGCAGTACAAATCTGTACAAATCCATATTTGATACCTTACTGTCTTCAGCATGAATCAGTAGAGATCCAGAAAGATAGATAGCAGTGGGTGTCTTGGCCTATTTCCAATCTTTTTATTATACGTACACACTTTAAACATCCTGCTATGCACAGACTTAGATAGACACATTGTGCTCTGATTAATATCACAGGAGAAGATCCATTGTGCAAATAACTGCAGAAAAGTAGCCCCATTTATTTTAAAAGATGGGCCCTAAATTTTAAACTCCATTTGACCGTTAGTTTCTTGGGCTTTGGGGAAAAACTATGCTTTGAAGTTATCAAGCTCTAACTTTGCAAAATTTTGTGACTGACCTTTTGAACATCATGCATGTAGAAAAGAATATAAACTTTCAACAGTCATACTGGAGGCATTTTTTTGCAATAATGTTTTTCCATAAAATTATCTTTGTATTTTTTGTTGACGCTTGTCCTAACACTGTTTTTCTTTTCTTCCAGTTACGAGTCTTCAAATTAGCAAAATCCTGGCCAACTCTAAATATGCTGATTAAGATTATTGGCAACTCAGTGGGGGCTCTGGGAAATTTGACCCTTGTTCTGGCCATCATTGTGTTTATTTTTGCTGTTGTTGGGATGCAGCTGTTTGGGAAAAACTATAAGGAATGTGTCTGCAAAATTGCAAGTGATTGTGTACTTCCACGATGGCACATGCAAGATTTTTTTCACTCTTTTTTGATCGTATTCCGAGTGCTGTGTGGAGAATGGATAGAAACAATGTGGGACTGCATGGAGGTTGCTGGCCAAGCAATGTGCCTTACTGTCTTCATGATGGTCATGGTGATTGGAAACTTAGTGGTATGTAATCAAAACATTAACAAAATACTCTTCAATAACAGAGTGGGTTCAATTCTGAAGAGAACTAAGTGTTCTGGCTCTACTTCAGTAAAGCACTTAGGCTGGTAGTTTCAAGTGTAAGAGATTTTTTGGATACAGAACAAAGTATTCTGTACCTTGTGATATCAAAAAGCTAAGATGATGTTAGAGTGAGCTCTTAATCACATTCTTAATTTGTCTTTTGGCTGTTTCTAAATATTTGTTCTCCAAACAATTTTGGTTTATGGGCTCTTAATAAATCATTTGCTGTAATTTTTTTATTATTTATAACATATGATTAGTCATCTAAATCTTGTTTCTAATGTGTGAAGGAATAAATTAAACAATTTTATGATGCTGAATAGCAAGTTTGTTATCTCAGATGATAAGGTTTTTCCACCAAAATATTTATACGCCATCTGGATTTAAAGACGTGTTTACAGATATTCATCAGTTGAAATATTTTTTGATAGTAAACAAGACACAATCAAAACAAATACCCTTCATTTTTCATGGAGAAAGAGTTCTGAGGATGCTTTTATTTTGTTTTTGTGAACTATCGAGATTTCAGCCTTCGATGCTGCTAATAGAACTTTTTGAACAAAGTGCAAGTTCTTTGTTGACATAAATTTTAGAATGTTCTTTTTTCATCTTTCTGCAGGTACTGAACCTATTTTTGGCCTTGCTGTTGAGCTCATTTAGTGCTGACAACCTTGCTGTGACAGATGATGATAATGAAATGAACAATCTCCAAATTGCAGTAGCAAGAATGCAGAAGGGCATAGACTATGTGAAAAGAAAAGCACGTGAATTCATCCAAAAAGCTTTTGTTAAAAAACAAAAAGCTTTAGATGAAATCAAACCACTTGAAGATTTGAACAACAAAAACAGTTGTATTTCCAACCATACTGCAGAATTAAGCAAGGACCATGATTACATTAAAGATGTGAATGGAACAACTAGTGGCATAGGCACAGGCAGCAGTGTGGAGAAATACATAATTGATGAAAGTGATTATATGTCATTCATAAACAACCCCAGCCTGACTGTGACAGTGCCCATTGCTGTGGGTGAATCTGACTTTGAAAATTTAAATACAGAGGAGTTTAGTAGTGAATCAGACCTGGAAGAGAGCAAAGAGGTATTTAGACACTTTGTGCATTTCTTTTGTTCCCTTCTGCATGTTTTTTTTACTCAGCCCAAGCCAGTGTATTCAGTACTTCACCATTTGTTATTTTGATACTACTTTATACATGGACAAAAGTAACTATATAAAAGAGGGTTTAATTCCTGATGAGCAGAAGTGTGAGAAAGGGTTAAAAATTACTACAGTTCCAGCAGGAGGTAGGATACAAAGGAATGAAGGACCGAGATGATCAAGAACTGCTTATGATCTATGTTTTGTTGAGAACTGTATTTTAGAAAAACTGTTAATTAGCATTGTTGATTTTAAAGAACTTAATTTTAGTGTCCAAAATGCATGAAAGAGAATGGTGAATTAAAATGAAAAGTAAGTATTTTTTTCCAAAACGAAAAGGTCTTTAAAAAGTTTTGAAAAGTATTTTCAAAATGATTTTGAATGGCAAAATATACTGCAAAGGATGAGTTATGAGTATTGGATTTGCTAGAAGAAAATAGTATTTTTGTTAAAATATCAAAAAGGCAATATTTAGGTGAAAATGGAATTTAAAAATAAAACCTCTATAAACTCTCTTGAAAATTAATGACTAAAGCTAAAACTGGTTATCTCAACCCATTTTCTTGACAAAGATATTGTCCTCCACCTCTAAAATAGAGCCTTCTAAGCTTATCAGTGTTTTTTTTTTTTTCCCTCTTTTCTTTCAGCTGCCATTTCATTTATATAGTTATATTTGAGCTGTTACCTGCTTTTCAGTAGACTTAACATGTTGCTGCATATATATTTGTTGTATTCTGTCCAGGACAAGAGATCTTTACCACTAGTGGTTAGTTGTGGCTTAGAACTGTTATTTGTATTTAGTAGTTTAAAATGTACTTTTCTTTAATCCTTATTACGATTGATACTGTACAGAGGAAAATGTAAAAACTGTACAAATTTCCCTTTCGTTTGTCAGCAATTAACTTGCACTGAATACCAGAACAAAAGAACTATTTAATTACTCTGAAAACTACTAATATTTTCCTAAAAGTATTTAATGGAAATCTGCGATTCTTTGTTCTTTTTTTTACAGAAGCTAAATATGTCCAGTTCATCTGAAGGCAGCACAGTTGACATTGGACTTCCTGCAGAAGAGCAACCAGAAGCTGAACCTGAGGAATCCATGGAGCCAGAGGCCTGCTTCACTGAAGGTGTCTGAGACAAAAAAAATCCAAATGTTTTTATGAAATATAGAATAATTAATTGTCAAAACTAGTTCTTAATATTTGTGTTTAATTATTTATTTTTTGTCAGTTTTTAAACTATAATTAGAAGCAGTAATATTTTTAGACCATAATTCACCATATGGATATTGAATTTAGTATCTCACACAAAAGAAAGTACAATAAAACATTTGCCCAAGAATTAACACATAAACTTACTTTAATTTTGAATGAATTAGTATATTTTTTATTTCTTACTTTATAATTTAGCTTTATGTTGCATGAATTTTTATCTTTTTGCATGTACTGTACTGAGCAGTTAATTCTTGATAAATAAGAAATACTTTTTCTCATCCATTCTTTGAATTGTAAATTTCAATTGTCTCAGTGTTATATTTTATTGCTTTGGAGGAGAAAAAGACCATCTAGATGAAAATCCCCTGACCTTTTACTAAATAGCACAGTTCCTGGAAATGTAGTGGTATGTTACTAAGTGTACATAACCAACAGTTACATAATTCAACAAAATCTTTCTTTTTCTCAATACGTATGCTGTTGTAAGGCTGTGTACGGAGGTTCAAGTGCTGTCAAGTAAGTGTAGAAGAAGGCAGAGGAAAGCAGTGGTGGAACCTTAGAAAAACATGCTTCAGAATTGTTGAACACAACTGGTTTGAGACTTTCATTGTCTTTATGATTCTCCTCAGCAGTGGAGCCCTGGTGAGTAAAACATGAAGAGAGAGTTGTAACTGCTCTTGGAAAACATTGTTTTAACTTAGTTCACTATGTTAGAAAAAGCACATAATTTCATGTTTTCAAAGGATCTCTCCATTTTAGTCAGGACTTTAAAAAACAGGTAAAAAAAGTCTCTTCTCAACAATATGTCTGAAAAGAACAGATATAATTGATTAGAGAATTTAACTCCACGGCTGATAGTAAAATGCCTGAAGCTGGGAGAGGGACAACATGAGAAGAAAACACATTTAGCTTTATTATTTGGGCTTGGTCTCTAGTTTTGCTGGTGTTTATCAACGTGTCTCAAGGAAAATAACTGCCTCCTCTAAGAATAAGAACTTATCATTTATGCTTCTAGTTCAGACTTGTGTAGACCAAAATGATATATGTAAAAAATTTTGTTGATCATTGTGTGGTAAGTATAACAAGCCCGTTAGAATAGAATAATGAGATTACAACCATAATATAAAGCTATAATAATAAAAGAAACAACACTTATTAATATTATATTATTTTACAAATAAAAACGATGACAATGAATGCAGAAATTTGAGATTAACTGACAGATAAAGCCCTGAAATAACCTATAATTATGTCTAGCATCCACTCAGGGAGATACAATTACCATTCAGTAAATTACTTAAGTTCCTGAATCGTTAAACAAAATTACTTTGCAGTAGTATATTAGAATCTCCTTAGGCCACTCATTGGGCAACTTTAAAGTAGAGCTAGTCGTTCACAGTTTATGATTATACCTGACCTTAGTTTTGGTTAAATCTATAAACACATTGGTTTTCTCTGGTTTAATATCAAAATAACAATCAACTATGCACCTTTTATACAATGCAATGTGACAACTTTCCTGTGTTCTAAAACCTACTGAAATGATAAAAGATTCACATCTACACTATTGAATTTTGGTTGATGATACTAATTGAAGAAAACAAAAGCAACATAGATTTAAATGAAAGAAAATTACAGACAGGAAACCTATGAAGGTCCATCATTGTGTTTTGAGGTGAGATCCCAAAGTGTTAGCATCTCATGCTCCTGAAAGTAATGTATGTGTTTGACCTAGGTATTCAGAAGTACTGACCCTCAGATACCAACTGATAAACACTAATCACTTGAACTGACAGAAGGGTTTCAAAATCAGGCTGGGCAAAAATGAGTTTTAGTATCAATGAATACCCAGATATCTGCAAGCTGTCAGATGATTCCAGTTCTTTCATTCCAATAAAGCCAATAACCTGTATAAGAAGTAGTAACTTAAGATTTAAAAGCAATTAACAGCAAAATTTATAAGATGACAGAAACAGTTACTGAAAAGCAGATGTTATACGTTTGAGCAACATCTTATCTCAAATTTCTAAAATTGAAAACACAGAAAACACAGAAAACGTAAATAGCATTGCAAGGATTATAAGAAATTTTATGTACCTAATAAATAGTGAAAAATACCCTAAAGAAGGTATTTGCGTTTTTTGTTGTTGTTTGTTTAAAAAAAAAAAACAAACAAACTTGTTTTATAATTTATCACATAAAATTTTCAAAAACTAGCAGGACTTAGCAGCATAAGATCAACTGCTTTGTCATTGTCCTGAAAATTTTACAGCTATGGCCCTGAATTTTGAAAATGGATCTCCCTACATATAAAGTAAATTATCTCAGTAGAATTCTGCTCACTCCCATCCCTTTATAGAATCAAAGCTGTTTCTGAGAATCGAAAACAATCTGAGTAGAATAACTGAACAGCAGCAATAAATAAATAAAAATCTCTGACTAAAGAAGTTGTTGCTTCTCCTTCCTGTAAGTTGAAAAATATTTTTCTGTAGAGGAAAAGCATACTGAGTTACTAGAAAAGAAACCTTGAAACAAAAGTGATGCTCCCACACCTGTTCTTGAAGAAAATTTGCTTGCTTTCTTTTTATTCCTTGTTGTTAAAACCTAAACTATATATTGTTGTTAAACCTAAAACAAATATTTTTGAATATTTTTCTTACAGGCTTTTGAAGATATATATATTGAACAGCGCAAAACTATCAAGACCATGCTGGAATATGCTGACAAAGTCTTCACTTACATCTTCATTCTGGAAATGCTGCTGAAGTGGGTGGCCTATGGTTATCAAACATACTTTACTAATGCCTGGTGCTGGCTGGACTTTCTGATTGTTGATGTATGTACTGTATTTCTAAGGTGCTATTTTTACTTTTTTTTCCATTACTTTCTCTACAACCATAATATCCATGTGTATACCACCTAGTTTACTTTCCAGTTTAAAAAGTAAGGTAGATGGAAAAAAAAAAATCCATAGTTCTTTGTCTTTCATCTTACCCTTACATTACTACTTTCCTGTACCACAGAATTAATGAAGTCCAGCTAACAAAAGAATGTAACATACTAACTCTACAGGTATTTGCAGTTCATCTCAGCCCTGCTCACACCTACCCTAACGTCCCACGGCCCCACTTTCCTTCCTGTGGTCTAAATCACATCTGGCATTCAGATTAATGTCTCTTCTATCAAACCCTCATTACTGAAAAACAATTATCCGAACTATCCAACTACAAATTCTGTTTGTAGTGCATATGACGGCATAAAGTTTTTACAAAGAATGCAAAATGCATGTGTAGCATTGGTTCTGTGGCTTACTTAGTATAAAAGTCCACAAAATATTATTGAACTTACAATCTTCACAGCTGTGTTTGAAATCGAACTCAATTATCTTTCCTTATGGGGTTATCTAATAGTTTTAAATCTACTGTGCTGTATCACAAATTGTGGGAGACAATTTCTCTATGAATTGATGCAATTTAAAATTAGGATGACGATTTAAAACAAATGTCCTCAGTTTGCCTCCTTAAGGAAACCTCAAGTGTGCAAAAATGCATACTGTTCAAGTGGCTGGTAAAACTTACAGGAAAAAGAAATATTAAGCAAGTTGAAATTTAAAATTAAAATGCATTTTGTCCTGCTTTTAGTGAATTAACAATGATATAAATATTTTCTTTAATTTGGCATTAGATTATTACAGCTTGAAAAATTAAGTTTTCGATAGCATTATAAACGTACTGGAGAGAAAAAATCAGATTCCAAAAGGTCCTAGTTTTGCAGGTTAGTAAAGATGAGGATTAGCAAGAAGAGAAAAGTTCAAGATTTCACATCTAGTACTTGCTTCTAAACATGATTAATGAAGAGCACTGTTGCAGGCTTTTCTTTCCATGTTGCTTTGTGGGTGGGTGTTTTTTGTTTGTTCATTTGTTTTTAATAATTAAATAGTATATTCAACTATTAAAATATTTTTTTCAAATAACTAGTTTAGGAACTGGAACAGGATAATGAAAGCCCATTCAGGGGAAATGGAATGAAAACTGAAATTATTATTTTGTCAAGAACCATTGTGAATGTAGAGGATATGTATGTCTCATTGAGGAAATGCAGGGAGGTAGAATACATACAGGCAGGTGACTTCAGTAGTTCTGCTGCCTATTGATACTGTTTCTGTAATGTCTTTTAAGAAACAGCATATTCCAGGTTAATGTCAGGCTGTAAAGTACATAAATTTGGTCGTCAGGCTAAAACATTAGTTAGTATAACTGAATATAAAATAATCAATCTACCAGTTTCCAGAGAAAGTGTTACTCTGTGACCCATCTGTTAACTCGAAACAGGCTTCAATCGTTCCCCTTCTAGCTGTGGGCAATCAAAGGAGTATTATCAACTATAATTACTAATCCCAGCAGCATTGTAAAACAGAGGGGGAAAAAAATTGCCCTCAAATCACTATTAAAACATGAAATTCCTAATTATTAATGTTTTCAGATACTGTTACCTTATGGCATTTTTGTTTAACTATTTACTTATCTTTCTCTTCTTTCTCATTAATTCTCTTTTTTTTTTTATTTAAAAGACTTCGTATTCCTGAAGAAAGTGATCCAAAATTAGATTCTTCTAAAGAAGTTTGTGTCTCACATCTATGGTATGTAAAGTAGTATGTATAATATAATAATTTCTACTTTCCTGTTTTCATATAGGTCTCTTTGGTTAGCTTAACAGCAAATGCATTGGGTTACTCTGAACTTGGTGCCATTAAGTCCCTTAGGACACTAAGAGCTTTGAGACCTCTAAGAGCCTTGTCACGATTTGAAGGCATGAGGGTAAGAAAAAATGAAAGAATCTGAAACTATGCATGCATACAAAGAATCCATGCATGCAGAATAAGGAATGACAAGTCCATGCAGAAAGGCTGCACTATCTTTTTATCTATTGCATATCTTTTACTAACAGATAAGCAAAAAGCCTCATCAATTCACCTAAATCCATATGCAGTATCACATAGCAGTTACATTCATTAAGGTTACTTTACTTTCTAGCCAATCTCAGGAGTTCTCCATTTACTGCTTTAAAATTACTGACTACGAACTCTCTCAACAGACTTTTAATAATGAATTAAATAAGTATGTTACTCTATTTATATGGGGATTTAATTTAGCAATAGTTTGTAAAGCTATTTTCTGTTACCATTGAAATCATTAATTTTTCTTCATATTTGATAAACCAACTTTGGCCTACCAACACTGAATTTTATTAGATCATACCAGAGATGTATTCGTATCAGATAGCGGTTAAAATTTATTTCTGAGTTTGGCTGACTTTAAAGATAAAAGCTTCTAAAATGAGTTTATTTCTCTATGAAACTATTCTTTTTGTAAATTAAATGTTTTTCTTGCATCAACAAATTTCTATTCAATACAATGTGTATAAGGTTTTGTCATACTTATTCTGAGTAACTTAGAGGCCCTGCTTACTATACATCCCACTCAAGAAAGCATTTAAACTTATTTTTTTTTCATCTGTTTATGCCTTCTGTTCCTAAAAGCCACTGAATACAAACTAACTCTATATGCATGTTATTGAAATATGTTTTAAGAGAATGCGTTTTGCTACTTCATGGAAACACAGAAGGAAATAGCGTGCTAATGAATTTCAGTTCAATTACAAAATAGTGAAATAGCCTAGAATGCACTGTTTGAATAGTATTTAGATATAAACCTAAGGTTAATGAAGTCAAACTGAGAATCTCAGAATTCTTTTCCTTAAATTATATTCATCAGGCTACACGTTTCTACTTCAGTAATCATCAGAAGAAATATTGCTAACCATTGACTGCTAGATAAGTAAATTTCAGTTTCACTTTCCAGTTTTGCTTTAAGCAGTTTGTGAATTGGTAATTCATCAGGGTAAGAGCTGGTCAAATTCTACAGAATGTATGAGTTGACAATTAAGTTTAGAATGACTATTTAATTTAGCAATTTTCTCTGTCTTTTGTTGTACTTACTGTTCATGAACATTCTGACATGTTTTTTTGCAGACAAGACAAATGTTGGGAAATTGCTCTCAGCTTTAATTTTTTTGATAACATTCTGGTCAGCTGCAGGAGGACTGGAAGACTAGTTTAGAAGTTATATAGGAAAAAGAAACAATTCTTCAGATGACATTGGAAGCAAAACAATCATTATTGGAAATACAATGTTGAAAATTATTGCAAAATCTTTTACTCAATTTTTTTCTGTATCCTTACATGACTTAGTATGTTTCCTAATTAGAACATTTAGGATATTCATGTTCAAAAAAAAATACTTACTATTTGAAATCTATATATTGCATTCCTTTGTTTCTCACTGTAAAACTATGAAACTATGCCAGAGACCCAATCATATGGTAGAATTTCAGATACACAAAATGAATAATTCAAGAGCAACTTATGGTGTAGGAATCACAGACAAGACTGAAAAAGCAATAATGGTTACAGCTCCATCTTCCAATATTTATGATAATCAATGAAGTACCTGTTAGTAGTCACTTAGCAAATGTGACCAGCCAAATGCATAGTCTTTCTCTTCACTATTAGTTATATGCATTCTGAAAATGTTTTTTTCAAAATGGTTGGCATGCGTGCACAGCACTTGCCTACTGACAGATATTAGCATTACTTTATGAATGACTCACGAACAGTAAAAAGATTCAAATAACAATTGACCAGCTCATTATAAGAATATACCCATATCAACTTACAGCCTTCTCAGAAACTGAGTTCATTTCATAAAAACCCATTAAAGGAGATTTCGTATTTGCCAACAGGAAGTAAAAATAATTTAGCCCTTCTTGCTTTTTTATATTACACAGACCTACACCGACCAACAAGCTGAGGTTTTTTATTCAGCATGTATTTATTATTTTCCCCCAAGTTCAAAATGATGTAAAATTTGCTTTGAAAAGAAGAGATCAAATGCATTCAATGGAAGCCCCTGTACATAGGCTGCTATGTATAATTTTGGAAAACAAATTGTTAAACAAGCTAAGCTACTTTAAATTGATATCTGATTATCATTCTGGTGAATATAAAAAAAAATGCACGATTTTAGAGCCACGAAGCAGTAATAGCTATTTTTTTATCCAGAAATATCGAAACATACTTCACTCTTTAAGTCATGTTGTATTTTGCAGTTACAACTTACTTATGAAATATCATAATTTCAAATTTGAGATAGATAATTTCCATTGACAAAGTGGAAATAAAATCTATGAATCATTTGTGATGAGACAGTTACAAATGGTTCATAGCCTGTGCTTGCTTTGAGCACGTAAATGAATTTAGCCTTATTAAGGGCATTTAAAATATCTACTAGCAATCTGCAGTCTAAGAAATTTTAATATTTCTATAGCGAGTCTCAAAACCAACTCCACCCAGATGCTGGAAGGCAAAGTAAAGAATTGCTTCAATTTAATTTAAATTTTTGTCATAGGGTTAATATTCTTATCTCAATTAATGCACATACTAAGTAGAATTATCTGCAACCTGAGATTTGAATATACCCATTGCTTTTTGTTTAGCTTTTTAGTATTTGCAATATAATGCTTTTGCGCTAGTTCTGAATTGGTATGCTACTTGTCAATGTAGAATACTGAGTACACATTGCTTTGCTGAGTTAGAGAATTAAGTGACAATAAAGCATGCTTTTGTGTCCAATTTCACAAAATAAAGCATGTCATGCCGTGCTTGATTTATTTATTAGAGAAATAGTAGAAGGCAGCAAACAATCTGAAAACCACTTGCACTTTCAGTTTTGCATGCCTTATGCATATTTCTGGCTGATTGCTTTAAACATTTACTGTATTTCAAATTTCCAGTCCAATTTCATAACATGTAAAACTAAATTAGAGTATTTGGTGTCTTAAATATCTTCTAAAATTCAATAGCTATACCTCAGACTCCCCTACCATGAAAGCAATAATGAGGCATTTCCAAGAATACTCCAAACTTTATTAGTAGAATGAAAGTTTCTTATATGATTGAGTTATAAAACATAGAATCAAGTGTCTGTCATTATAGATTCACAACTAAAAATGAGCTATATGTTTCTACTTTATATAGAATCTGTATAAAATCATTGGAATCTGAATTCAGTCTTCAACGTAGAACAAACTGGTCTTTGTAGAAAACTTATGATTTTCATAGAATGTTAATAATTGTTAATAGAATGTTAATAACTGTCCTATCTTCCTCGGAGTTTAGAAATATTCTTCAGGACACATGTCAGTGCAACAAAAAAGTTACTGCATTTACTGTCAAATCCTTAGAAAACACTTGATCTTTGGTTACAACCCTTGCAAGCACCAACTGTACCTTGCACCTTGCAAGCTCTCATGTCTGCAGGGTTTTTTATAGCTTCAGGGGAAAGGATAAATCAACACAAACAGCATTTCCTGTAAATTAACATCTTATCTTACAGATAATTATTATATATTTAATCTTGAGAAAGTTTATTTGCTACTTCCTGCATATTTTCCATAAGTATAGAGGGTTGTATTTTGTTAATCTGAAGATTATGCAGTGTGAGAGATTTCTTGAGTGCTGCTGTTTTTGAAGATTGTGATTCACTACCTTTGAGTTTTAAGGAAAGTTGATTACAAGTTCAACATCTCCCAAAACATAGCTGAAAATTTGAGATAATTGAATGTAAGAAAACCTTGTGTGTAGATGCTCATAAATCATTTAGGAAATATCCTAGTATCTGGGGATTTTCCTTAGACTACAATTCTGCATTTAGAAGAGAATTTTTAAAGGAGTTGCTTATATTATTGAAACCAAGGTGATTTTTGACTAGATTTGTGTTTATTGTATCTCGAAGAAAATCCTTACTGTTAGAATCACAATTAATGAAATATAAAGGACAATGGTATTAAATTTATGCCATTACAAAAGCAAAAAACAATTTTCACCAGATCTAGTGAACTTCACCAGTACTGTTCTCACATTCGCTAATTATCCTGTTTTCATATTTGTATGTATTTACAGTATTTATCAGCTCTTCTCAGACAGAAATGCAGCCATGTGATTTGTTGCTCGGCAGATAACTATTGTGTTTCATCACACAGTATGTTAAAGCGTGCGATCTTTTCTGTTATGTCTTCAGAAGTATTTTGCTATATACTTGATCTGTTGTGAGAAACAGATTCAAAGCATTTTATTAAATCGAACAATGTAGTTTGCTTTTAACAGACAGATAAGTGAATAAAAAATGCTTCTGTTCTTTCTTTAACCAATTTAAACTTTGTTAGGAAAGCTGTCCAGAACGAGATTAGGAGAGACCTCCTGAGATAATGTGCTCAAACCACCCTGCCACTGGTTTTGAAACTGCAGGGCACAAACCCACCTTCCACAAGCATGAAATTTCTCCAGCACAAAGTGTTACACAAATATTTGCAAAAGCATTTTCCTTTCTTTGAAGCCTTTTTTGGGGGTCAGCTACATGCATATAGCATTAATTATGGACAAGAAGTAACTGTTGTATTAGCTTGATAAGGGAGTGAGTTTATTCTCATCTTAGATCTTTTGTATCTTGCTTCATCTTTGCTCATTAAGACTAAGAATTGTCTTTCCTTGTCTCTCTCTGATCCCTTCCATTTGCCTGTCTTCTCTTTG